TTATGATCAGCCCATAAAACGTTCAACCACGACCAAGATATGTCTTTTTTTTTCTCTTTCTTTTTTGTTTTTTACCAAGCCAATTTATGTAGCCAAACAACAGCATACCCAAAATACTGTTAACTACATTGCAATGTTGGGAATTAAAAGGAAAATCAAGAACAACGAATGAAGAGAAGGATGAACACAGAGATATTAGAGAGAGAGAGTTTAGAGAGAGAAATAGGATTTGTATTAACTGAATCAAATGAAGATTACACATACTGTTTATATAGAAATCCTAACTACTTTAACCAAATACTAACTACCTAACTATATTACTAACTGTATTACATTTTTACCCTTAATACTCCCCCTCAATCTCAACTGGGGGTAACTCATTTTGAGATTGGAAGAACAACTCCAATCACTATTACAGACTCTTGCATGGGACTTCAAAATTTAATGAACTACATGAAATCGTGAAAGAAGCAAAGTCTAAACTAGAGACAGAAGTTGGCCCAGTGAATGGCGTTTCTGCAAAGGTAGCACGAGGAATAGTCAGCAGACTATCAATTGCTGGTAACATGCTGAAACTCTGCTCCCTTGCAATTCAGAAAGCAGATGAATGGCTGGCCACTGTTTCTAATGCGGATCAAAATTCCCGAGAGGGTTCACTTCCTGCAGCTTACAAGTTTATTTTTCAAGAACGTTACTTCGGCTATCGACCTTTAAGAAGTAACACACAATACTTGAAACAGAACTTTTCACTCCGGCTATCGGCCTTGTGGAGGAAACATAAAAGGGAAATGGCTATCAGCCTCTCTATCCCAACAAACAATTAAAGAACCAATCTTTCAGCAATGGCAATTGGCCTTCATTTGCTGATCAATCAGGTAATGATAGTACACTCTCGGCAATTAGCCTTCTTGAGTGTAAAATACCTAACAATATTCAATTAAAGAATCAATCTTGCACTTAGAAGAAATGGCAATCGACCTTCATATTCTTCTAAATCGGTAACTGGTTATCGGCCTTAATACAAGAATTAACATAGAATTCCTCACTGAGACAATAAAACAAACAGTTGGAGTGCAAAAAGAAAGATGAAACCTGAATCTTCAGTTCTTGAGCAAAAAAGGCCAGAAAAACACATCAGAGATCAGCAACCATTCAAGATAGCACAACGAAAGTAGCAATGATCAATATTGAATCCAAATACCCTAAATATCATGCTGATAAGAACTTCAATCTTGACCTAAAGAACATTGAGGAAGCAAACCAGAACTCATCGTAGGAGCTCGTTGTTCTTCTCGAAGTCGACCGGGTTCATATCCAATCCAACCCACCAATGGTTTGCACCCATCATACCCATCACGCTTCGAATGACGATTTGAAGGAAAGTAGTTGTTGGAGTTGAATAAATGGGAGTCTTTCCTTCACTCAGAGTCTGCAATAAACATTTGGCGGGAAAATCAGAAAGAAGCAAAAAAACAGGATCTCGAAGTGACAGCCGCACCAATGGCGGAAGACCAAGATCAAGATTCAGCTGTCTTAGAGGAAGAGTATGTCGAATCCCACAAAAACATTGAAGAGGCGATCCCAACAATGGCAGAAAAGCAACCCAATCTCGCGGAAACACCGAAAAACAAATGGAAATTTGGAAAGAAACTATGCTAGAAACAGATGAAAAACAATGAGAAATGGAACCACCAGAATCAATGGCGTGAGCCTGGTGGCTCTGATACCATGTTAACTACATTGCAATGTTGGGAATTAAAAGGAAAATCAAGAACAACGAATGAAGAGAAGGATGAACACAGAGATATTAGAGAGAGAGAGTTTAGAGAGAGAAACAGGATTTGTATTAACTGAATCAAATGAAGATTACACATACTGTTTATATAGAAATCTTAACTACTTTAACCAAATACTAACTACCTAACTATATTACTAACTGTATTACATTTTTACCCTTAATAAATACGACACAAAAAACTAAAGTACGAATCATTACAAAGGAGTCTGGTCCCCACTATGCACACTGGATCCGATCACATTTTACCAGGGTGCTCCACGCGCACTTTGCCTTCCCCTCATCATCGATGCGGACTTCCACTCGGGCTTTCCCTTCCTCGTCCAAACAACTCACGTCACTAGGCCTTGTCCCCATAGGATCAGGATCCTCTCCTAAGACCAGGCTTATCGGGCCGTTCAATTTTTATGTAACGACTACAAACAGAGATCTTCTAAAAGTTATAATAATTATAATCGTTAGATAAAAATTAAAAAGCTCATCGGCCTGATCAGGAGGATCCTCTTCATCTGACCAGGAGAGGATCCTGATCCGTCCCCACAACGTCAACCTTCACCCTCTCCACAATGGGAATTGTCCTCCTCCCCGTAGTCACTTGCTCACTTGCCTCACGTGCCCTATTAGCATCTTCATCCTTGCTCAACTCCTCCATCTTTCTCCTCGCTTTCTCCTCGGTCTCACTCAGTTTTTCCTAGAAAACACAAATTAGATCATTACTAAAACGATAAATCCAATGTCCTTTCTTTATATAAGCGTACCTGTGTTAATCAAGATTACTAATTATTAATTAGTAATTTTGAGTAGTAATTATACCTTGGTTTTCTCTGCAGTCTCATAAGTCATGTATTTTGTTTTCCCGGCAGTCTCGACAACTTTCTGCTTGGTCTCCTCTTTCTTGCCAGACAAGTACTCCACCGCCTTCTGAACGGCGCCAGCAGCGATATCCTTGAGCTGACCCAACTTACTCATGGTAGTATCCTTCCCTTTTTTCGCCTTCTCAGTGGTATAGTATAGTCCTTGGTTTCCTTAGCCGTCTCTATTGGAGTATAAATGTATTTGCTGTGATAGTTACCTTAAGCAATGTGTAGGATTTAATGTGAACCTTTGGATCATATTCCAATTGGTATTTAGATTAGAATGTAATGAGTCATGGCTCATGACAAGTGTAAGCATCTTACATGATGGCTTAGGAATGAATGGTTGTGATTGCTTTGTAATAGAGTGAGTGAAATTGTTCTCAGTCCTCTAACTGTCATATAAGCTGTAAAAGGTTTTTATGAAATAGTAGAAAATGGAATCGACACAATCCTAAGAAACATTTTCTCTCCTTCTTCTTCGGTGTATTTTACTGAATTTTTTATAGGATTAAAAGCACACCACAAAGTAGCACACAAATGTCCTATTGATTTTCCTTATTAACACTAAGATTTGTCAATTGTAGCATATGAAAATAAGGGTCTTTCCCGCAGAAGATTGTTTTATCTAACTACCTAAAATGTCACAAAAACTGGGTTGCTGTCCCTACTGACCAGCCACCAAACAATAATTATTAGACCGACTTATACTTATCGAAAGTCTACGAACTTTTATATGCAGATACTAGACACACAAAGCTACGCTCACACAAATTTTTGGGATTTTTGGAGTTGATTTTCTATTTAAATTAAATCGAACAAAAACAGGATAGAAACAAATTTTAAGTAGTTCACAAATTAAGAAAAACGAGTTAGGGGTATTGCTATCCACCACCAAATAATCATGCAAACATGTTATGTTTCATTCAAATTTCTTTTATTTCCGAATGAAGATGCTCAATTTGGCTCAATGTTAGAACTCAACCTATTACTCTTTCTTACGTAGTATGTTAAGAGAATGGCGTTTTCAACTTAACTTAGTCCCTAGCATGCAATCTAGAATGGCGTGTTCATAGATTTAACAAGTAGAAATCATTAAGAACGAAAAGAGTTTGAGTCATCACAAGGCATCGTAAGTACTGGCGTTGTCTTACTTATCCTAGAAATTGGTTCACATGTTAATCGCAATTAACAAGTACTACTTTAGAACATATGTAGGTCCTCATTCGACAAGGGCAGGCACACACATATTCATAGCATTAGAATCCTAGATATGCTTACTACGTATGCATCCATAGAAAACAAATAAAGAATTCATCAATGAGACAAGTAGTGAACCAAGTTTCATCCATTCATAAAAGTAATTCAACGAAATGTCATAACAAAATTGCAATCATATTCGGGGCTTCAAAACAGCCCCTAACTTCTAAAAAAATAGTTACACATAGTTCTCAAGTTAAAACAAAAGATAGACATGAGTTTGAGAAAATAGAACCGAAAGAAATCGACCAAGGCCTCCTCTTCCCTTCCTTCCTTTCCCAATGCTGCTTTTAAACCCATTCTTGCTGCATCATTTTCTTCTCCTTAACTCACCCACTAATAGCCATTTAGTGATGACAATAAGTGAGAGGAAATGTGGTATAACAATTGTAACACTTTTGGTAGCCTTTATGCCAATTACTCCCTCTTAATCCTCATTTTTAATTCCATTTTCTCTGATATTTGAATGTGTCAGCTGACTTGTTCTTGGCTGCATCAGTTTGGCTGCTAGATTTATTGGGTTTATTGCTTTCATTGCAGTTACAAACTGCTCAGCGTCTTGGAAACCTTTCAATGTTAAAACGGCCATAACTTCTTCTAGAAAAATGATATTAACAATCCACGAAATGCTCCAAACAATAGACATCCGTAGCTTTCCAAGCATATAAGGGTCATTCTCTAATTCATTCTGAGTTATTCGCAACTTGCTTCCAAAATCAGCTGATCTGCACAGGTAGTTTTGACAATTTGTTACTAAAAATCCTACTTGTGCTATTTTTCTTTTATTTGCTTGACAAATCCCACAAAACACAAAAACCAAGTAAATAGCTCAAAAATATAAGGAACTAACTAAGAAAAGACAAGTGAATTTGATGTAAAATATATATAAATATGAGCTTATCAGTTTTTAAAACTTCCATTGAAACTAACATAGAAACCAAACACTAATATGGCCTTAGAGCCAAGTTGGATCTCAATCTGGGCGTGAATCTGTGACAAGGTTCGCAGCTGAGGAACTCGACAGAGAATTGAGTTTGCTGCGATTTAAGAACGATCTGAAAATCTCTGGGTAACTCGATAACAAGTCTAATATGGCTGGACTGAGTGGTGCTGATCTTCGAGCACCGATTTTCAATGGAGAAAATTTTGATTTCTGGCAGATAAAGATGAAGACCATCTTCAGATCTCACGATCTGTGGGATATGGTTGAAACGGGGCATAATCCTTCGGCGAAGAAAGTAGAAGAAGAACTCACTGCAGTTGAGCTAAAGCATCTGAAGAAGAACATGATCAACGATGCTAAGGCTTTTGGAATTATTCAAGGAGATATGTTAGATGAAATTTTCCCAAGGATTGCCATTCTGGAGACAGCAAAAGAGGCCTGGGATATACTGAAGCAGGAGTTTATTGGAGATAAACAGGTGAGATTTGTGAAACTTCAAAGCTTAAGGCGTAATTTTGAATATACTTGAATAGGTGAACATGAATCATTTTCTGTGTATCTTGTGCGTTTGTTGGATCTCATTACACAAATGAAAAGTTATGGTGAGAGTATTGGAAATCAAAGAATAGTGCAGAAATTAATAATTAGTCTTCCTAGATCCTATGATAGTATTGTAGTTGTGATTGAGAATACTCGGGATTTGGAGACAGTTGATGTGCAGGATGTAGTTGCTACTCTAAAAGGTTATGAACAAAGGATTGAGAGACACTCTGAAAATAATACTGAAAAGACCTTTGCTAGTTTAAGTATAGCTCCCATGAAGAACAATTACAATGGCAATCAAAACTTTAAACCCACAAAGAACTGGCAAACAAAGGGTAAGAAATGGGATACCAAATCTATGCACCATCAAGGAAAATTTACTGGGTCTTCTGATAGTGTCAAGAATGCTTGCAAGTACTGTGATAAACTTCATTTTGGAGAGTGTTGGTTCAAAGGGAAACCAAGATGCCGCAACTGTGATAAGCCAAGGCATTTTGCCAAGGATTGTAGATCTAAAAAGGTTACCCAACAGGAAAATTATGCTAATCAAGTGGAGAGCAACCCAACTATGTCCTATGTGTGTATGTCTGCTGCAGTGAAGAAGGGAGAAGACGTTTGGTATGTTAATAGTGGCTACAATAATCACATGACAGGAAGAGAAGATTTACTGGAGAACATTAATAGAAGTGTTACTGCCAAAGTTGAGATGGGCACAGGGGAGTTGGTTAATGAAGTTGGAAAAGGAGAATTAATGGTTGCAACTAAGCAAGGCAAAAGGTACATCAAGGAGATCATGTTAGTACCTGGTTTAAAGGAGAATTTATTGAGCGTGGGACAGATGATGGAGCATGGATATTACCTTGTGTTTGGGGGGATTGAAGTCAGAATTTATGAAGATTTTACATGCTCTAATCTGGTTGTCAAAATTCCTATGAAAGGAAATCGAAGTTTTCCTTTGAAGTTGCAACCAGGAATCCAAATTGCTATGAGGGCAAGTGTTAGACAAGCAGCTGAGATAAGGCATAGAAGACTCGGGCATCTAAATATGAATGCTCTAATGCAACTCTAAGAGCATGACATGGTGACTGGTTTACCTAAGCTCAGAATGAACTCCACAGTATGTGAGGGATGTGTCATTGGAAAGCATTCTAGAGATGCTTTTCTTAAAGAAACAAACTAGAGAGCTGCACTACCATTGGAGTTAATATATACTGATATATGTGGACCAATGTAAACACCTACCAAAGTTGGAAACAAGTATTTCATCACTTTCACATATGATTGTACCAGAATGGGATGGGTCTTTTTTCTGAAGAACAAGTCTGAAGCATTTGGTATATTTAAAAGGTTCAAGGCAACTGTTGAATTACAAAGTGGATTCAAAGTGAAGAAATTAAGAAGTGACAGGGGAGGGGAGTACACTTCTCTGGAATTTTCTCAGTACTGTGAAGATCTTGGTCTAGAAAGACAACTCACAGTGGCCTATTCTCCTCAACAGAATGGTGTTGCTGAGAGAAGAAATATGACCATTGTAGAAATGGCTAAATGCATGATGTTGGAGAAAGGCATTCTATTTGAGTTTTGGGCAGAAGCAGTTAACACTGCAGCCTACATTCTCAATAGATGTCCTACCAAGGCCTTGCATAAGAAGACTCCATTTGAAGCCTACAGTGGAAAAAAGCCTGGAGTAAAACACTTAAGAGTGTTTTGATCCCTATGTTATGCACAGGTTCCATCACAGATGAGGCAGAAACTAGATGCAACAAGTGTAATATGCATATTCCTTGGTTATGGAACCTGTGAAAAAGGTTACAGGTTGTTCAACCCTAAACTAACAAGATACTTATTTCTAGAGATGTAATCTTTGATGAGAACTCTTATTATGATTGGAAATCTGGTAATAAGAAAACTTTGTGAGTCTCAATTCCAAGTGAAGCTTATGAAAGCGAAGAGAATGAGGTTGAAGCTGCTGAAAATGATGCAGTATTTGAATGCACATAATTACTACAAGAGCAACATGAGCAAGTTATTGCTTCTCCTTCAAGACAAAAAGAGCAAATGGATCACACCGATTCACAAGTGTATGATCATACTCCTCTAAGGTTCAGAAGCTTGAATGATATCTATGAAAGGTGCAATTTCTGTGTGATAGAGCCTGAATGTTTTTAAGAAGCATCAAGAGATGAGGCTTGGAGAAAAGCTATGTCTACAGAGATTGAGATGATCGAAAAGAATGACACATGGGAGTTGGTCAAAAGGCCATTTGATAAACCTGTAATTGGTGTAAAATGGGTCTACAACACAAAGCTTAATCTGGATGGTTCAGTGCAGAAGAACAAGGCACGGCTAGTGGCTAAGGGCTATTCTCAAAAGCCTGAAGTGGACTTCAACGAGACCTTTGCACCTATGGCAAGACTTGATACCATTAGAACTCTAATTGCATTGGCAACTTAAAAGGAATGGAAGTTGTTTTAATTAGATGTTAAGTCTGCATTCCTAAATGGTACACTGCATGAGGAAGTACATGTGGATCAACCACAAGGATTTGAAGTTCAAGGACAAGAAGACAAGGTTTACAAGAAAAAAGCCTTATACTGTCTTAAACAAGCTCCCAGAGCTTGGTACGATGAGATAGACAATTATTTCAATCGATCCGGTTTTAAGAAAAGCCAAAGTGAAGCTACTCTGTATACAAAGTTCAGTGATGCAGGTGTGCTTATTGTATCTCTGTATGTAGATGACATTATCTATACAGGGAATTCTGATGAAATGATTTAAGAATTTAAGAAGGATATGATGAAGCAATATGAGATGTCAGATCTGGGACTGTTACATCACTTTCTTGGTCTGGGCATAATTCAAACCAATAAGAGTATATTTATTCATCAGAAGAAATATGCCAAGTCACTACTTGAGAAATTTGGATTGAAGGATTGTAAAGCTGTGAAAACCCCACTTGCAATTGATGACAAGTTATCTAAGGAAAATGGGAGTGTGGATGCTAATGAAAGTTTGTACAGGATAATGGTTGGTAGTCTGTTATACCTGACAGCTACTAGACCCAATCTAATGTATGCATCCTGTTTGCTGGCAAGGTTCATGAATAAACCTACCAGAAAACACATGGGGACAGCTAAAAGAGTCTTGAGATATGTACAAGGCACATTGGATTTTGGGATTGAATATGTGAAAGGAAAAGCTGCTGTGTTGATAGGCTACTGTGATAGTGATTAGGCAGGAAGCTTGGATGACATGAAGAGTACCTCGTGCTATGCATTTAGTTTAGGTTCAGGAGTGTTTTCTTGGGCTTCTGTTAAACAATGCAGTGTAGGTTTATCTACTGCAGAAGCCGAGTATGTAAGTGCTGCAGAATCTACAACACAAGCAATGTGGTTGAGGTTTGTTTTATCTGATTTTGGAGAAGAACGGGTGGAGGCTACACCTTTGCTATATGACAATACTTCTGCCATAGCCATGTCTAAGAATCCAGTGTTTCATCATAAAACCAGGCATATTAATCGGAGGTATCATTTCATAAGAGATGCCATTCAAGATGGGACAATTGAACTACACTATTGTAGCACAGAGGAGCAATTAGCAGACATCTTTACCAAAGCTCTTCCTAAGGATTAATTCGAATACTTGAGAACTGCTATTGGTGTGAAATAGCAAAACGTTTAGAAGGGAGTATTGGAGTATAAATGTATTTGCTATGATAGTTACATTATAAGCAATGTGTAGGATTTAATGTGAACCTTTAGATCATATTCCAATTGGTATTTAGATTAGATTGTAATGAGTCATAGCTCATGACAAGTGTAAGCATCGCTTAGGAATGAACGGTTGTGATTGCTTTGTAATAGAATGAGTGAAATTGTTCTCACTCCTCTAACTGTCATATAAGCTGTAAAAGGTTTTTATGAAATAGTAGAAAATGGAATCGACACAATCCTAAGAAACATTTTCTCTCCGTCTTCTTCGGTGTATTTCACTGAGTTTTTAAAACTTCCATTGAAACTAACACAGAAACCAAACATTAATAGTCTCCACCGTTGCATCCTTAGCCTCTTTGGCTTTCTCAGTTGTATAGTTGCTATATTCACTAGCTTTGTTGATTGTAGTGTCCTTGGCCTCTTTCGCCTTCTCAACCGCATAGTTGCTATATTCACTAGCTTTGTTGATTGTAGTATCCTTAGCCTCCCTGGCCTTCTCAGCAGCATAGTTGGTATATTCACCAGCTTTGTTCACCGTTGTATCCTTGGTCTCCTTGGCCTTCTTGTTGGCATAGTTGGTATACTCGCCCGCTTTGTTCATTGTTGTGTCCTTCGCCTCTTTCACCTTGTTCAATGTTGTGTCCTTGGCCTCCCTTGCCTTCTCGGTGGCATAGTTTGTGTCCTCGCCAGCTTTGTTCACAGTTGTTTCCTTTGCCTCCTCTGCTTTCTCGGCTGCATAGTTAATGTACTCGCTCGCTTTCCCTACTGTTGTGTCTTTAGCACCCTTTGCCTTCTGAGCGGCATAGTCGTCTTTGTACTCAGAGGCTGTCTCCATCGATTTGTTCGCTGCTTCTTTCGCCTTCTGAGCTACGGTGTCCTTGGTCTCTCTTGCCTTCTCAGCAGCATAGTTTGTAACTTTGTATACTCGCCTGCTTTCCCCATTGTTGTATCATTCGCCTCCTTCGCCTTCTGAGCGGCGGTGTCCTTGGTCTCTCTTGCCTTCTCAGCAGCATAGTTTGTGTACTCACCCGCTTTCCACATTGTTGTATCCTTCGCCTCATTTGCCTTCTGAGTGGCCGTGTCTTTGGTCTCCTTTGCTTTTTGAACCGCCTCGTTCGCCTTCTAAGCAGCAGTGTCCTTAGTTTCTTTCGCCTTTTGAGCTGTGTAATCCGCATACTCAACCACTTTCCCCTTAGCCGCTTCCTTCTTCTCCCTTGCCTTCTCCACCGTTTATTTTGCCTTATCTGCCGCTGTTCCAGTATACTCGTTTATATTCTCCCCGGCTGCATCAGTAGTCCATTTCCCCTTCTAGGTGGTATACTCCCTGCCCTTCTCTTGAACCTGACTTTCTTCGTGGGGTTTCCCCACCACAGCTTCCTTGGCATGCTCCAAAGTCCCTGTCACCGCCTTCATCATCGACTCGAGCACACCGGGCTTCTCCTCGCACTCCGCAAACTCTATTGGCCTCCCCAGGTCATCAGTCACATAAGTAGTCTCCACCCTGACTGTCTCTTCCTTAACAACATCTCTGTTCACTGATAGGAGCATATTTATGGAACTTAGTTAGCTTGTTTCTTGGCATTTACTTAGTTTAATTCTAGTTATTTTAGTACTTTAAGCTATTTTCGTGTTTTTATAGCTTTAAATAACAAAGTTAGCAACAAAGTGCTATTTGGAGCATTTTGATGCATTTTTGGGCCAAAATTGGATAGTACAAGCATGGAGACATGAGGATGGACGTTTTTGAAGATTTGAAGGCTAGAAATCAGCATGTTTGTGTGCAAGTGTGTTGACCTACAATTACAAAACATTCACCCACTACACCCATTACATCTACTTATTACCAAACATCCATCCACTACACCCATTACATCCACTCATTACCAAACATTCACCCCCTACACCCATTACATCCACTCATTACCACAACATACACCACCACCACCTTAATTAGATGGTGGTCCTCTCCCTAGCCTATAAATACATCCACCCTTCACCATAACAAAGGAGGGAGAAAAAGATCCATCAAAAGACACTACATTCACATCTCACAACTCCATACACTTACACTTTCATTCCTTGGCCAAGAGAACACAATCCACCCATCCACCCTTCACCATAACTCACCTATATCCATCCACCACCATAATTTACCACTCATCCATCAAACCACACCTTGTGCCGCAACAAAGAGAAGAAGGAGGACCCTTGGACGTGCTTGCCATTCAAGTTGGATTGTTGGAGCGTTTTTAGGTGTTTTCATTCTTTTGTTTTCAATGTCTAAATTTGTTTATCTTTGCTTTGTGAGTATGAGGAACTAAACCCCCCTTAGCTAGGGGGGAATTCGAAACCATGTTCATGCTTGCAATATGATTTGATTACCTTCAGTTGTGATTTCATAAGTTGTGAATTCAATTTGTTTAACTACTTGATTGATAACTTATTCCTGTATGTTTATTAAGAGTGCACATTTAGTTTGCATGCATGAATATGATGCTAGAGTATAAGGGAGTTTCACCTAATAGTTACAAACTTATATTCACAAGTAATGGAGGTAACTTATAAACGATCGCGTTAAATAAATTCTTGGCAGGAGTTTCATGCTCATCATAGTAACGAATGCCTCGTCAATACTTATAGTTTTCATAATGCTTAATGATCTTTGATTGTATCTTTATTGTGCTGTTCACATAAAGAACTTTTGAAGAATGCTTGAATTGTTGTATGCGCTTTCCCATCCAATTCAATAACTTAAGGAGAACTTGAAGGTTAATTTAAGCGGACTTAATTAACCTGGGGTGTTGAGTTTCATGATTGATCGAAAGAACAACTGAAAATTGGTTTATGTGCAAGTATGTCATGTGTGGAGAAGAACCTCCTAGCTAGCCTTCCATCCATTCAATTTACTCAAATTCGTGCAGATTTCATTAGTTCTTTAATTTACTTGTTTTGTTTTCAAATTCGTCAAAACCAAAACCCCCCTTTACTTTAAAGTGTTTTATTAGTCAAAATCTGTTTTGATTTGTGCTTTTAGATGTCCCAAAAGTGTATTAGAGTCCAAATCCAGTTTGTGTTTTTAGGCAGATTTGAGCGTTTTTAGCTTGTTTTGAGTCCTTTGAGTTTGTTTTAAGTTCTTCGAGTCTAGTTTAGTGTTTTTAACTTTGTTTATATGTTTTTAAGTCAGTTTAGAGGTTTTAGCAAGTCCTCCTAATCCCCGGTTTAGAACGATCCCTACTTGCATTTATACTACAATTTGACAACAAAAAGGTTTAATTTGTGTGTTAAGTTAATTTTCGCATCATTCACATCTGTCGGTTCATGGGCAGCGAGCCTCGCTGCTGCGTTAGCAGCTGTCTCGTCCTCCATTTGCTTCGACGACCCCGTTGAAACCCCACAAAATGCACTTCGAAATTAGACACGATATTTTTTATTTTTTTTTCAAGCAAACACTTGGAATGGTTTCCGAGTTTTTGATTTCTCTCCTCTTTTCTGTATTTTATTTTGAAACTCCGGAAGGCAAGAGGTGGTCGTATATATAATCGGTGAAGTTCTGGAAGTGTGAAACGTGGAGGTCGGGTGCGGTGGTAGCTGCTACGTGCATGGTATTGTGGGACGAGAGTTTGACACGTCGATTTGCATGCAGAGTGATGAATGGCAATGTCGGTGGATTCCTTACTGTTTTGCTCTGGTTGCATTCCACGTTTCCTACCAGGTGGCAAATTGGGGTTGATTTTGGCTCTTGGTCGGTTGCTTCGAGTCGATAACTTTTTGGCTAAGAAAAATGCAATTGGACTCCATTTTGGTTTTAAGAATCTGAAAAAATAAGTGCACTACTAGTCGGCTTTAATAAACGTTAATTAAAGCCTGCATTTTTGTGTCCTATGCAGGGAACTGTGATTCGGAGCTATTGTAATAAACGTTAATAGAACACGGTAGCAGAGCTCAGATCCGTAGGTCAAAAGTGTGGCAGAGGTCACAAGGTTCTCAAATTGGAGAATGAGAAGGTATACTTATCCGTCTTTGTCTGTCATATGCTTGGATGAATTAAAGAATCGAATCAAGTGCATCATATTGTTATGCCCAATCCCGAACTGTACCAAAATACTGAAACTTTTTTGGAACACCTAAATTTTGGTTCGTTTTCGATTTTCAAAATCTTTTCTCGAAAGTGATCTGTTCGTGATTCGTTTTATGCTTTTGGGTTCGAGATCCGATCCCAACAACTTATGTAGCTACTACATTGGAGTGGGATGCGTAAACTATTTTACGGATGAGCAAATTCGGGCTAAAAATTGTGTTAAGCATCAACCCAACCCAACTTGATAAATGATTGAGTTGACGTCTGGTTGAATTGGGGCATATATTTTAGGGTGCTTTAGATTTTGGCCCTTACAATTCGTGATTTCTAAATAAAAACCCATCTAAATATAAACATCCAATAAAAGTCCAAATTTAATATTTGTAACCACATCGATGCACTATTGACCTAATGCAATTTATTTACACACATGCCACTTTCCTAAATCCCTAAATTTATTCCAAATTAAAAGTTGTAGAAAAAGTGAAATAAAATATATAAACTGTTGTATTGCATTAATTGTATCCATATCATACCAAAAATTTACCTTTTTGTGATATGTATATATATATTTCATTAATTAAGAAGTAAATTAATTTGTTCCAATTATTAAAAAAAAATATACTAAATCCGTATTATATATTTTGAATCAAATAACACTTCTCTAACTTGTAGGTAAATTATTTTTCATGTATTGTTAATATATTAGGCACGTTTTATTGTTGTATAAATATAGGTATTGACACACCCCGACCTGGGAAGGTCGAAGCAAGCTAGTCGTCACCATGAGGTGACGTAACAATAAGGGTAAGTGATGCAAAAAGTGAATAAAGTTAAAACTAATTAAAACTAAACAGTGAAAGAGTGCACAATTCGTGGGTTGAACCCACTACAATTATTCAAAGCGTAATAGATAGGGAGACTACGAAAGAGTAGTCAAAGCAATCAAAGTACACTTATTACATAATAGTGATAAGTTCCTACGTCTAAATAGAAGGAAATGTCAAAACTGCCATGATTCCTCGAGTGCCACAAAGAGTACAGCTATCTAGGTCCTGGAGGGACGAAAAACAAAGTTGAGTGGCTCAGCAAAACGATGCTTATAAGAAAACCTTTTTTGAATATACTAACCCTTCGCCGTAAAACAAGTATAGTTTCCTCAAAACATACTACGTAAGTATGAAATCCAATATATCAGCCAGATAACTAGAAATATGCCAAGTAAATGATGTATCATATGCCACAATAATAATCATGTGATAATCAATATAACTAAGTGCTCATCCATCTAAGCTAACACACACAAGTTCGAACAGATGGTTTTTGACACGAACAGGACTGGGTGTAATCAATATGCTCTAGTACTACGATCACGTGAAGACTGGTGCAAAAGCACATCACATACAAGTCGGATCCCCTAATGTAATCTACCCGACAAGACTAGTACCTAAACCTGGATCCAAGGTGAGCAAACAGTGCGGATGTGAACATACACGTGAAGGACGGCCCTGGCCCTAGGGCGAGTACTAACACCGGGTGCAGCAAAATGAGCATGCACACAAGTACGTATAAATGCCATGACAGTAATATCACAACCATATAGCAACATTTATCACAATTTATATCACAATAATGATACTAGGCAAATTAGGCGTAAAAGTGAAGTAAATACGCATTTATGGAAATTATAAATATATATAGGTATAAAATAATTGCCTACTCACAAGTACGTTGCTAGGTCGTAGCCCCCAAGCCTA